GTCTCTTCTTGAGTAATGTGGCTCCGTTTTTACTCAGGAAGATATATAGCTTATTATTATGTCAATAGACATCTGGTCAGTAACTCAGTAAAAATTTCTAGAGTGAAGGAAGAAATGCAGCAGAATCACAAAGCACTTTTTTCGGTGGGGGGAAACTGAGGGGGTACAGACTCTAGAAGTTCACTCAATAAAAGTTTTGCCACAGGATCATTTTTGAAATCAGTCTAATTTCCTGAAATCTAGAAACAATTTTTGCATATTTTGGTGCTTCATGCTTGTCATTTTCATAAAAATTTAAAATTAAGATTTGAGATTTGAACAAAACTTTACTATTTCACATGTCCTAACCACAGCCTTGCTGAAGCAGATGAGAAGAAAAATGGAAGGTCTGCCTACCTTATTGTGGAAGCAATGGTAGAATGAATTTCAGATTGAATTTGTAAAACAAATGCAGAAGGATCATCTGTGGTTTCCAACCTTTGAAAGCATGTGTCCAGCACTTAGCAAGTTGTACCTCTATATTGTTGTATTATAACATGTATTTCACACAGTGCTACTATGTAACTATGCTCATCTTCCAACTTTGCCCACTTTCTTATGAGCACATACCTTGGGGATTAAAGAAACCAGTCATCCAAAATACATTGGGCCTCCCTTCAAATATCCAAGTAGAAAACTGAGCATTTCTTTCCAGAAGTTCAGTAAACCAGAAGCCCAGTGTGGATGAATCCCAGGACACTCTTTTCCAGATCTGAGGTATGCGAGCATCATACATGTTGTCCAGGGCATCTCTCAAATTCTGAAAAAGAGAAAGTTAAAATATAAGAATGAGAAAAACCATCAAAAGAGGGAAATGACAACTGAGATCATAGCTCACCTCACTCATAATGATTGTTCCTTCAATGGCCAATTTTAGATCACTCAGGCTACTGCGAAGGATTGAGATGACTTTTTGCATTCTGTCAATTTCTTGTCTAAGAAATATGTTCATTGAATTAAGATGTCCCATCTTTACCAAACGAGCTTTCACCTTAAAAAAAAAAAAAAAAAGCATACAATACAAGAAAGGAATTTTTTTTAATCATCTGTCATTTCTCTTCCAATGACCTCTCCTTTCTCTATTCTTTTTCTTCCTCTGGATATAGCTCTACTAGGCCAAATGGATTCTAAAATATCTCTTGCAGAACCCAACTTGACATTAAATTCCCCATTTGCAGGCCTCAGAAACTACTGTTCAACTAAAATTGTTTTTATTTCCTACTGATTGTACTTCGTTGATAACTGGAAATGTACTTTAAAAAGCTGAAACAAAACTGTACCTTTTTTCCCTTTCAAATGATTAAGTGCTAAGTGTCAGTTAAATATTCTTTTGCAGGGGCGCCTGGGTGGCTCAGTTGGTTGAGCGACTGCCTTCGGCTCAGGTCATGATCCTGGAGTCCCGGGATCGAGTCCCGCATCAGGCTCCCTGCTC